CTACGCGCATCTCTTTTACTTGGCTCTCACACGGCTATGGGCTATTTACCTCTTGTCACCTTATGCTCATTTTACCGTGTTCACTTTGCATGATATGCTTGCTTCTATGCCTTTGCCATGCAATTGTGACCCTTGCTTGCATCTACCCATGATTCACCATTATGCTACTTCTATGTGTATTTGCATTCTTGGTGGAGATACTTGTTACTATTGCCATGTTTACCATGTGCTCCATACTATTGATGCTTGTTGTGTTGGGAGAGTCATGATGCCCCATTGCTATTTACATATGGTCTCTCGCCAATACATTGATGATACTTTACTCATATCTTGCTTTCATGCTTGTGCTATGTCAAGTCCATTACTCATGCCCACTATTTGCACACATGACATGCTTGCCATGATTCCTTCTAGTACGTTGCATCTTCGCACTACTAGCTTGCTTGACTTGATTGCTATGATTGCTTGCTATGTTGCATCACCCATGTTCCACTATTACTTGCTTTCTTGGGTTGATGACATATTTGTTCATGCCTCTCACTTGATTTGTCTTGATCATTGTCTCTTGTCTCCATTAGTTGCATCTCTCATATCACCTTGTGTTGAATGCCAACTTGCAATGCTTATTGATCATGGAGACTTGATCATATTACTTGTGATGCATGCTTGCTTACTTGAGCCTATTGTCTTTGGTTGTAGTTGCATCATATGCTTTCATACCATACCACACCTTGTTCTTTCTTATGATAAGAATGATGAAAACACTTGTTGGGTATCTCGCCCCTCGAATGATAGGTCTTGCCTTTGCACTAACCTCATTTGTTTTTCCGAGTGTTTGTCATGTTCTTTCATTTTGAAGGATTCACAAGGCGGTACCATAAAAAGACATTTTGGTTATGTGAAGGCATACAAGATGCACAACTCCATCATCCTTGAGAAACTCCTAAAGGTGAACTCATTCTCTTTGAGCCATCCTCAAATACGCATATTGGATGAGTCACTCTTTCATTGTTGTTTCCTTCTTGTTGTCTACATGATACATCTCGTGAACGGAGGAAAGACATTGGAGATTGGCTACATGGACCTTCACATTGAGGAGCGCTCGCACTTATTGGATGCATCTTCGGAACTCCACTCATGCCTCGACATCGAGCTTTGGTACACCAACACCTCCATATTTGTTGATTGTGCTCATACATGTCATGCTCGATGGACTTATCATACTCACCACAAGTTTGCACCCTATGCATGGATTGACTCACATTATGATTGCCTTGTTGCATCTTGTATTCCCATGTCATCCATGATATATGAGCTTGTGCATTTCCTTAGCAAATTTGTTGTGATCTACCTTGATGGCATATTCATACATCATGACCATATTGTTGACCATCAATTGCATGATAATATCCACATGTTGAGCATCCATTGCCATGTTCATGCATTTGATAAACCATCCCATTATGACATCATTTTGCACCGTGGTTGCATTGCTCATACTCATAACACAATTGTGTGCACAATGATTGCATTTGTTCCCATGAATGCTTTGCATACCATTCTAGATCATCTTGATAAGCTTCATGCGCTTTGTCACGCACTATCCCTTCGCATGGACTCACACTTAATTGATGGACACTTTGTGTGCGCTAACCATTGTATTTCCAAGTGTTGCTTGTGTTTGCTCTTTTTGCATGTCTATCACTCCGGCTACACCTTGGACTACTCGGATGGCGCCATGTCTTCAACTTCGTCCAACTACAAGTTCGTATACGACAACCGTTTCCATGGTGATGAGGATCACGATCCGAGGTCGGATCTATCCCAAGGGGGGGGGGAGATGATGCGGAGCATCCCACGTTCATCCCCATGTACACTCCGACTACTCTCCAAGCCCCAAGAGGACATATGACGAGACCTCGACCATACGCCATTGGGCACAAGGTGAACTCACTCCTCTTCGAACCTTCACTTTCCACATGTGAGACATGGCTACTACCTCATGCATGGACCTTGCATACACTCAGGTACAACCGAGACGACCATGGAGGATCCAAGGACCAAGGCCAAGCATGGAAGAGGAGAAGGAAGAAGAAGCAGGGACAAGCTTCTGGAAAGCCCGGACCTTCCGGCCTGCCCGGAACTTTCGGCCCCCGGACCTTCCGGCCTGCCCAGAACCTCCGGCCCCCGGAGTCCAGACCATCCCCGAGCACGCCAACTCTCTGGTTAGCCCGGAACCCGGCCGGAACCTTCCCGGAACTTCCGGCCCCGCCCGGAACTTCCGGCCTGCCTGTGCGCAGAGAACGGGCCAAGGGCCCATGTATCCCCCTCTCACTTACCCCTTCGTGGGCTAGCACTATATATACTCCTCCACCTCCTCCTAGTTAGAGTTAGCATAGGTTTAGCTCATATTTTGTGTGAGAGCCTTGCTCATCCACTTGGATACTTCTCCTCGGAGCTCAGGACCTCTTCGGAGAAGATCCCCCAAGCGGATTCAAGACCCCTTTCTAGGGAAGACCATCAAGGCCTCCGTATGGAGAATAACGGTTCCTTTGTATCCTTACCTTTGTTGATCGTGGATCATATGTTACTCTATGTTGTCGGTGATCTAGCACTCGTGTGATTTATTCTCTATCGGTTTAGCGTTTTCTCTTGTTCTCCCCGTGTTTCTTCCCTCGAGTTCTTCCGCGTGTTCTTCGTGATTCCCCGTAGGATCCCTCCAAACGTGAAAGATCGACCACTTAGGGTTCCGCCCTACATCAGTTCACCCTCAAGGACTTGGGGCCTCTGCACTACTTCCTCGGCATCGAGGTGGTCCGTCGAGCTGACGACTTTTTTCTACATCAGCAGAAGTACGCCCACGAGCTTCTGGAGCGTGCTGGTATGCTTAAATGCAAGTCGGCGCCCACCCCATCGACCGAAGGTGAAGGTCTCTGCTATGGAGGGGTCTCTCGCGTCTGATGCAGCGTTCTATTGCTCCATTGTTGGTGTTTTACAGTACCTGACGCTGACCCGACCAGACCTGCAGTACGCTGTTCAATAGGTGTGCCTCCACATGCACTCACCGCGTGACTCTTATTGGACCTTGGTGAAGCGTATTCTCTGTTACATACGCGGCACCATGTCCTTGGGACTCACCCTGACGGCCTCCGCCTCCACCGACCTTGTCGCCTACTCGGATGCTGACTGGGCAGGTTGCCCCGACATCCGGCGCTCTACGTTCGGCTATTGCGTCTACCTTGGGCCCTCGTTGATCTCTTGGTCATCGAAGCGAACAGCCCACGGTCTCCCGCTCCAGCGCCGAGGCAGAGTATCAGGCCGTGGCTAACGCCGTGGCCGAATGCTCTTGGATCCGTCAACTGCTCCAGGAGTTGCTTTGTGATGTTCACAAGGCCACCCTTGTCTACTGCGATAACGTCAACGCGGTCTACCTCTCCGCCAACCCGGTGCATCATCGACGTACGAAGCATGTTGAGCCCGATATTCACTTCGTGCGAGAGCAGGTTGCCCTTGGTCGTGTTGGGTTCTCCATGTTCCGACGACGCAACAGTTTGCTGATGTGATGACTAAGGGATTGCCTACTTCCATCTTCGAGGAGTTTCGGTCCAGTCTCTATGTCTCCAGCGACACTTTGACTGCGGGGGGTGTTGAGTATATATGTGTTGCATGTATCACGTATATCGTGGCCCACCTCCTAGTTGTGTATAGTTGAGGTCGAGGCCTACCTGTACTTATATATACGGGCACCAGCACCCAATCAATACAACGAATATTGTATTGTCAAACCATCTTTCTACAGAGAGAACAAGTTCGAAGAGATGCATTGTGGATAGGGCCAGAGCACGGCTTAAATAGGTATGGCGGGCAGGCGAAGGGATTGGAAGCCAGCTTCAATGCGTCACAGCGGACGAAGTAGGCTTCCCGGTCGCCGTCTGCATTGAAGCGGTACCACCCGCTTGTCCGATCAGATCGCCCTGACCAACATCAATGTCGCGAAGTCACGTCCGCTCTGGAGCGGTGTTGACTGACATGAACACACGCGCTTCCCCGGTCGCCGTCTGCATTGAAGCGGTGCCGCCCGCTCGTCCGGTCAGATCGCTCTGACCAACATCAATGTCGCGGAGTCACGTCCGCTCTGAGGCAGTGTTGACCGACATGAACACACGCAACCACTGCGCGTGGGAGAGTTTTTTGGGTAGAAGGGTTTTCGGATATAAACAACCATACAACTAACTGATAGGGTAATTAGAACCAACTTGTGGTTGTATGATTAGGAGCGTGGTTGTATCCAATCTAGAAGGTTCAAACCCCAAGTTTAACACCCTACATGTCTCAGCAAGATGAAATGCCTTTCAACTGTCACATGTAGTGACTTCATCAATCTTGAAGGCCCACGACTCCGATCTGCAGTTTGCGAGGGTTGCTTGTGCGTGCGCGTTGCACTTCTAGAAAAAGTTAGGTAAACATAACAATGAAAATAACTTTAAACAGAAGAGAAATTTCAACTATAAGATAATCATATCCTTTTTTTTCAGTTAAAGTTGACTCTTGGGTCACACACATAGCAGGAACTGAACTTCTTTGGTCCAGGTTTACTTCTTTCGAACTTGAATACAATCATATATCTTGTGGTATAGAATTTATAGTTTTATTGCCCAGGATAACCATAGTTCATAGCTAACCAAAAAACTCTCAACCACTAACTAGTAACTACACACACGCATGCACACAAGTTATACGACCATACAAATATTTGCACCAGGGCCAACACAATACTAGCTACCTCATCATCATCTTATCAGAACCTAAGAACCTGCTTTGGCTGGCTTCCGTGTTTTCCAAGGGCCTTATCAAGAGCCATGTTGAACTCGCTAAAGGGGGTCAGCTCCATCCTGTAGCCAAAAATGTTTCAAAGCATTCATTCATTTCTCGATAGGAAGTGTATGGCCGTTTAAGACCCAGGGTTAGTTCAAGATACATACTCATATTTAAGTTTGCCTTCATGCACAAGGCCCAAGAGGTAGTCTATCATTGTTCTACATTCCTCTGACTTGTCCGAATTCATCCACTTCTGTAGCCAGAACCCTCTGAGAGAAAGATCCTGTCAAGGCATGGATCTTGTCAAAGAATTGACAGGAAAAACAACCCGACACATAGCAGCATGAAACGATATCATTTCTTCAAACTTTGATGTACGATTGTTACATAATAATCCAGCACTTTATGAGGCATTCCAGACTAATCTTTACCTAATATTAAAAGGAGGATTTTTTTTTTTGCGGGGGATTAAAAGGAGGATTGTTTCTCCACTTTTTTTGGTTCATGGTGGGACCATCAAATTTTTCCTCCGTTTTGTTGCTGGTCTGGCTGCTCGTAAGAAAAAAGGAAAAATATTGAACCGGAAAAAACAAACGCCATGGGTGGGATTCGATCATTTCTTCAAACTTTGATGTACGATTGTTACATAATAATCCAGCACTTTACGAGGCATTCCAGACTAATCTTTACCTAATATTAAAGGAGGATTGTTTCTCCACTTTTTTTGGTTCATGGTGGGATTCATCAAATTTTTCGTCCGTTTTGTTGCTGGCCTGGCTGCTCTGTAAGAAAAAAGGAAAAATATTGAACCGGAAAAAACAAACGCCATGGGTGGGATTCGATCCCAGGAATACTACGTCGATTCTCAGGGTGGCTACCAGCCCGACTGGGCTCCTGGGCGTGCCTGAAAAAAGCGCCTGAAGCCTTTTGATACGGAAGTGCGCGTGCGGAAATAAGGTATGAGAGTCGCGAGCAGTTTTTTTAATTATTATTTTTTACTTACGAGGTCCATGACTGCTCAAGGATCGGTGGCATGTTGACATCCATGTTTATGTATGTTCTTCACAATCCGTAGCTGCCATATTTTCATATGCTCTTTATTATTTATCGTGTGCAAACTGTTACTTTCTTAGATAGATCTATTCATTATTCTGATCGGTGTTTGACTCTTTCAAATGAAGTGCACTAAGTGGATGTACTAGCTATGTGGTTTGTTTTCCCCTAATGTGTATTTGAATCATTGAATATGTTTAACTATAACAGTTGCGGTATGAGGAAGACCTGCATGAAAAAAGTGATTGATTAAATACATGGTATATGTTGTTTTCCTCGCTAATTTGTTTTTCTTTATTTACATTCTTCATTTTTTGAAGAGATTTAATCAGATGTTTCACATCATTTTATGTGTTATTGTTATTGGGCTAGGGCCATATGATATTTTATGTAGTTTTCTTATAAAGAATACTTTTATATTTTTGGCTTCTTCCCACCGCCACTATGAATATCTAGATGTACTGAATAATACATATTTCAATTCTAGAAAAATATCATAAAAAATACGTGTTTCAATTCCAACCTTGCTGTCTCAGTGGTAACAGCTAATCAAACTTTTGCTAGCTTTAAGAATAATTATATTGTTATTTTTCAATTCAACCATAGCTGACATAATTTGCCTTGTTCACTGTAACAAAAAATGTAGGTACATATTTATCAGTTTATATGTATTATATTCTTTAGAACGGAGACTACGTATGGGGATAATTTTTTCCATAGCGACACACCGTAAGGTCTTTCGAAAGCAGCGTGCTAGAGTGTGATGACCAAGCTCATTGCCCTTGAGATTGTCATGTTCGTCGTGAGGTGGACAATGTGACTATGACGAAGAGAGTGCTAACATAGATAGGTCACTTGAGCGTGCGAGTATTATTATTTTTTCTCCCGTTGCAACGCACGGGCATATGTGCTAGTACTTCTGACGCACAAAGTAATTCTCAAAAGGTATAAATGTTTAGAGCCGCAAAACATATTATAAGTAGGAAAGGATGGGCTGACCTTAAATATGAAAGACGAAGTAGAAACAGTCACAGGTTTCTTGGACATTCCGCCATATGTCACCATGGTGCCCCCTTGCCTAAAGAGAAGGGTTATAGCTAGTTATGCAAAATGACAAATTTCAAATTGGATGTTCATCCAGTTTAACAGTGTCACCTTAATAACTTCAGTATCAAAGATGCAGCATTTCCTCCAACGCAGTTAAATCCTAATGCAGGTTCTGGTAAAGCGCCCTAACATGACAGAAACCAAAATTGCACCAACATAAGGAAATGGTCGAAGTCCTCTTATAGATAAACAAACTGGAACCTGCATGGTTGCACCTCAGCATAAACAATAACTTCCATTCAAACTCACGATTTGAGTTCTGTAGGGCTTATATTACACTTTACCATGACTAATAATTTGTTTTAACAGCAACAGGTTGTCTTACCTTCCTAGGCCAGAAAAACACTTTGGTTTGAAACAAAAGAATTTCACAGATGATGAGGTGAGAAATGCAGGCTACAGAGCAGTACCAGCAAGCTCTTGACATTCTTTACATCTAGCTGACTTTCGGTGAAGACCTCATCTGCACCAAGCTGTTTAAGTTTCTCTTTTGCTTCTTCTGACCCAGGTCTACAACAATTTAGTTACAGTACAGATGAATGAAGCAAGTAATATGGATAAGAAATACCATGAAACAACTTGAAAGTAGAGTACCATATTAAGCAAATTATCATGATCATTCAGCAAATGATGACAGCAGCAGTATTATCTGTCCTTTTTTGCTCCCAAGTTGGTCTGTACCTGTCCCTTATGATGTTGATGGTGCGAATTCCCTGCACTTTGGCGAGCTGAATAACACACTGACCAACGATGCTGGTCGAGCCGTTCTGCACAATAGCATCACCTAATATAGCAAAGAATGGATGCTATGGCATGAGAGGGCATGCTAAGGGAAGCAAGCAAGGTGGCAAAAATGGATGATAAGGGTGGAACATGCTCACCAGGTTTGAGTTTCACAAAGTCCTGCAGCATCCTGAGCGCTGTCAAGGGGTTCACCGTGACAGTGGCAGCGTATTCCACCGGAACATCGTCACGAACCTTGTGCCACACATCTTCCGGCTTCACAATGTAGGTCTGCCATGTTCCTGCAACCGCAACCAACGAATTCCATCCAATTCAGGGAGGGAGGGAGCACGAGGAAAAGCAAATTGAGGCAGGGCATGGAGAGAAGGAGACCGAAGGAGGGCGGGGACGGGATGACCCAGTCGCCGGGGGAGAGGGGGCGGGTGACGGCGGGGCCAACGGCGTGGACCTGGCCGACGCCCTCGTACCCAGCGACGGCGGCGGGGAGGGGAGGCCTGACGGGGTAGACGCCCTGGACGCGGTTGATGTCGGAGGGGTTGATGGGTGCGGCTAGCATCTTCACGCAGACGCCGCGCTCCCCGAGCTCCACCGGCGGCACATCCTCCACCCTTGGCAAGATTGTGGCGTTTAATTGGAGGATTGATGCTGGGCGTATGGTGATCTAGCCAGTGCGGAAGAGAGATCGATACCTGAGGACTTGGTCAGGCGGGCCGTGTTGGTCGTAGAGGACGGCCTTGGAGGGCGGTGAGAAGAGTGACGCAGCGGTGGAGAGAGGGAGGCGGGGACGAAAGCGGAGGCGCGTCGCCGTCGACGGCAGCAGGCGGAGTGCCGACGCCATTGCTACTGGGGTGCCGGGGTTTCTCTAGACTCAGGTCTCTAATGCAGTCAGAACTCAGAAGAACCATCTCAACCATGCCGAGCCCAGCCCAACCCAAGTCAGCCCAGTATAATACAGTAATGCACTTGCTGGTCTATTTTTTTTTTTTTGACCCCACTACAAATCTGACACCAAAAAAAAAACTGCAAATCTGACATCAGATTTTTTGCGGGTGGCAATTTATGTTCTCCAAAGATGGCAAGTTTAGTTGATGAACATGACAAATCCATCTCAATTCATTTTTATCACAAAATTGTCATGCTTGCAAACTAAAATTGCCATCATCGCGTCAACATAAATTGACATGAAAAAGTCAGATTTGTCATGCCCAAAAACTTGATGTCAGATTTTTATCATGTTCTTTAGTTTTTAGGAAACAATACATGTACTGGTCTTAATTTACAAAATATGCAAATTTTGTGTCTTCTAGGGAGGCAGGTTTTTCCCGCTAAATTTCAGCCGAGATCTAGCCGCCGAAAACTCCCTCTCGCGGCCATTTTTCATGCATTACCCTTGTCTCTGGAGGTTGATCTGGTGTCAAGAGATAGAGAAACCCCAGATTTGTGTTTACGATGTAATTTAGTTTTACTTTGAAAAGAAAAAAAACTATCTCGTTTCCTATATAACTCTGTGTATCAGAATATGTTTTTTTCCTCTCTTTTTTTGCGTAAACACTCTTCTTGATTAGCATTAGCATCTTCTTGAACTTTTCTTTAAGACAAATCCACTTTTGCATGAAGATGGAGCACTTTTCGATAATATACCTTGATATTTTGTTCCCAAATCACACATTTCTTTTTGGATTCTCTTATGCATGATACCAAGGAGACAATTCTTGCATCAAAAGAGCTATTTTTCCAAGAAGAGATGCATTAATTTTACACATGTACACACAAGTAAATATGTGAAAGTGCATTGTTCCTCGAATGCTTTTTTGTTTGATGACAATGGGGTTAGTAAGGACTAATGTCGGTTATCAAATTTATTTATCCCGAGGCTTTGCTAGCACGCAGTACATCTAAGCTAAGGCAGAACCTTGTCCGAAATCTGAATGGGTCTGGAACCCAGGCAGTGTTCCGGAGTGTGTTCCGACAAGGCTATATGGACTCTAGTAGGTTTGTGCTAACCCAAAAACCCCTTCGAAACATGGTCCAGAATTCGGGTAGTTCAAAACCTAAACCTATTCTTGAACTTCCAGAATTAGTTCCGGACAACTAAAATGAAAATGTAACGGAAAGAAATATGTGTGGGTAATAAAAGTCCACCCCTTCTTCCCCAACAGTTATCCTTCCCCACCAACTTGAGTTGAGCTGGTTTCTCTCTCCTATTCCATTTTTGAAAGCCGAAAAGCTCCATATCCCCTTCTTCCCTCCACCAAAAGACTCCACTCCTTTGAGGAGACAGGGAGAGGATGTTGGAGATATGCCCTCAAGGCAATCATGTATGATGATATTTTCTATGTGTTTATGAATAAAGATAGTCCTTGGACATTACCAATGATGTGTATCAGCAAGTATGTGACTTGTTTGTGGGACTATGCATTGTATGATAACTGTCCTAAAAGGTCCCTAGTCAAAAGGGGTGTGTGGACGCGCAGCCGACTAGACTAGCATATGACACGGTCGATGGCTTGGTCTCATTAGCCATGGAGCATTGGATGCTAACCGAATAATATGGACTTGGAAAGGTCTGGTCGGATTCGACGTAGTCGGATCCGAGTCGAGATAAGGTCTGAGTCGGACAGACCCAACTATGAGACACAGCGATATGTCATCTGTGAGTCTCTAGTACAACATACGTTCTATGTCCTAAGACCTGAGCTGACGCATGTACTCGGGATGGTGACAGACTTGCTTTGGGCCGACCAAACGCTACTCCATGACTTGGTAGTTACAAAGGTAGGTTTCGGGTTTGTCCAGTCCCATGCTGCGAGACATGGTCGAGCAAGATGGGATTTGCCCCTCCGATCAGGAGAGATATACTCTGGGCCCCTCGTGTGATCCGACCAGGAGAAGCATGGCCATGCGACAAGGATTATGAGATAATCCTGGTAGTGGTCGGGATCACCTGAACGAGAAAGAGGTCGGGCTAGCACAAGGATGATAGTCTCGCCTTGAGCCCGACAACATATATCGTGCAGCAAAGGGAACAAAAGTGTGACACGTTGTACAGGTTCGCCTAACCAGCTTCATAGTCTGCTTGATGGTCGGCACGCCTTGCTAGAGGCCGCTACCAACCATGCAGGTCGGAGGTGATCCAAACTGTGACCAAGCCGACTTGAAACTAAGGGGTCGCGCGCTTTAGGGAAGGAACCTACAAGGTCGGTTCATAGGACACTGGTCGGATGTGATCCGAACTGGACTAGGAACGTGACCGAGTAGACTTTGGGCTTTAGGGTCCGTGCGAGGCCCAAGTGTTGAGCCCGCGACGGACGCCTATATAAGGTGGAGGTGCGGCGCACTTATGAGGTTGATCGCTTCGGCGTTGCGACTAGGGTTTGCATGTGTTGCGAATAGCCACCTCCACTCGTCGCCGACTGTGTGATCGGACCTAGCAGTCCGCCATACGGTGTTCCTCCTGCACGCGCGGATACCGTTAGAGGCGGTGCACTTGCGCCGCTCCGGCGAACTTGTACGTGGGATCGTACGACTGGCTGTTCGAGGGAGATCAGACGAGGAGGAGACGATCCACGCGGACGCGCTGCCTCAACTCTACTTTCGCTGCACGGCACTATGCGTCTAGTGGTAACGAACTGTGATCCATCTCCCGTAGCATGTTCTTGGTTGTTCTGCGCGTAGGAAATTTTAATTTGCAGTTGACGCACCCTGCCGTAGATCCCAACAGAGGATCCCTTGATCTACACTTTCACTAAACCCATTTTGAGTTCCTTGTTGATTTCATTTAGGATTTTTTTTACTGTTGGAGATTTGGGCTCCTAAGCAGTAGGAGTCAAGGTTCATGAGATTCCTTGCTTGTGGTGTGCCCCAGAAAGATTATTCGGAAGCTTTCTTGCATGTGATGTGCTCCAGATGGTTTGTAAAGGTTTGGTGATCATCTTTAAGATCAATTCTAAGTGATTTGAGGCTCATTCGTTGGGGGTGACTCAAAGGGCGAATAATGAGCTTTGAAGATATCGGCAAAATATCAAACTTCGCAGATTTGCCATTTGTAAGTGCATCTAGTGCCCCTTAGTGATTTTGGTGTATTGAAGACTTATAGGTTAAGAGACTGATGCGTTTGTGAGTGTACACAGGTCTATAAGTCTATGAGGAATTTGATATTTACAGAGAAAGTCAACCCCTAAAAATGAAGTTCTTCAACTGAAGACTTTGGATATCTGAAGACTTTTTGAAGACTTTGAAAGTGAAGAAATTGGTGTGACCTTGAAGACTTGACAATCATTCAAGGAACATGAAGCGTGAAGACTTTTGTTTTCGTAGTTTCATTTACTCTTTCTTGAGTCATAGGAAACACTGTACTGTTAAAGGGGGTCGAGGAAATACTAAGGAAAAATTTCCAAGTGATGCTCAACTCAAAATCCTACACCTACCAATCCCTTCGAGTGAAGCCATTGGAAATCTCATACAGTTCAGTCATATTCTTCAGTGACAGAGACGAAGTTCTTCTAGTCTCTGAGGAATTTGTTCTGACTGAGGAGTTAGGAATTCGCCAGTGCGGATTGCCTACACTGTGAGGAACATGATAGCCTTGAGGAATTTGAGAGTCAAGATTCCGACCGTTGATGTGCTATGCGCCAGCTGTCCCAAAATATCTACCCACCTAACGGTCATATCATTGAAGAGCATTTATGTCTTATCATGTCGGGCTGCTCCCTAGGCTATAAATAGCCGCCCCCTACAACCACTAGCTAGTTGGCTGCTCCGAGAGAAACTGACACTTGTCATTTGAGAGAATCCCATCCTCCGAGGACTTTGAGTGAAAATCATCAAGTGAGGAAAACCCAAACCCAAACCTTCAAAACCCCAAAGTGATTGAGCATCACTGAAGAGATTGATCCTGCGTGGATCCGACGCTTGTTACCTTTGAAGACTGTGCTTCTTCCAGACGGTTAGGCGTCAAGGTCTAGAGCATCCAAGAGGAATTGTGGATCGCCGAGTGACCAAGTTTGTGAAGGTCCGGAAGTCACCTAAAGACTTACCACGAGTGATTGGGCGAGGTCTGTGTGACTTTAGCTCAAGGAGAATACGGTGAGGACTGTGTGTCCGGGACTGTGTGTCCTCGAGTTTAAATACTCAGCCTCTCCAACCAGATGTACAACCGACACAACAGTTGGAACTGGTCTACCAAATCATTGTCTTCACCGAGCTTACTGGTTCTATTTCCTCAACTCTTTCATTTCCTCATTACTGTTTTTGTGTGCTTGTTCATATCTGTTTGAAGACTTTGACTGAAGACTTTCTCAATTTCCTCAGTTCAATTTCTTTAGTTTGTCCGTCTTCATCTTGTGTTATCCTGTGCTTACGCTTTCTGTACTCTGTGCTGGTCTTCATTTCATCATGATGACTATGTGTGTGTTCTGCTATGTTTACTTTTGAGTACTTATTCCACTGCAAGTAGTTCTTCATTTAGGAATTTCCTCACCAGCAAATTCCTCAGTGAAGAATTCATAAAAATTGCCTAGTCACCCCCCCTCTAGTCGATATAACGCACTTTCACCATTGTTTGCTAAAGAAATTTGCCATTCGCGGACAACACAAATTGTCATGAAAATCGTTCGATTTGGCATGCACTCAGTGAATGTTCGTCGGTTATAAAAATCTTAAAATAAAACCATCAACAACAATGGTCTTGATTCAGATCAAGAGAAAATGAACTCAATTGAACTGGTCCGCAAATCATGGACTGAAGGGAATGATCAACTGCATACTAAACAAGCATCATATGATGAAACTAGTGTTGCGCGCTCGCAGTGGAACAGATGATTCTGGAGTCATAATAAA